CGTAAAGGAAGGAACACACGCGAGACGTTGAAATGGACCGACCGGAGAGCGGTTTGCTCTGCAGCACCCGACGTGCCTTTCTCAGGCCAGGTCAGGGCGGGGAGCCGCGGGCCCTGGGGGCGTCCCAGCGGGCACTGACGCCTGTGGTTCCCGGAGGAGCCTCGCTCACTCATCTCTGCATGGACCACAGCGAGAGATTCCGCGAGACGGTCGTCCGCCTCACTCGACGCCCCTCTGCCCCTCCCTGCAGTCTGCGCCCCCAGGGACGACACAGCGTCACGAAGGTGCCGGACAGGGGGCCTCACACTCGCTCGCTGGCAAGTGTGTGCGCGACTGCCGACCTGAGCAGATCTTCACTTGGACAAATGCCCGTTTCACGCAGCTCCCTCGAACGTGGGTGTGTAAAGACGGAGCCCGAGAAACGTTAGCTAAGCATCTGGAGGTAATGGTCCGTGGAGCCCTATTTCCCTGCAAGCCCAGGAGGCGTCCCCACCGTGTCCTGCGTTGCGGCAACATCAATTATTGAAATGTGTGTTTTTGCTGACGGAGGACCTTGCCTTCGACATAGGTTGCGCTGTCCGGCCCCGGGTCATTAACTGCGGAAAGGCTTGTACATATAACGGTTTGTTCCCGTGGGAAGCCTTCATCAAGACGCGTGGTTCTGCGGCTAATGTGCTGCGATACACCATAGGTCGTCACGCTCTCGATGTCCCTTTAACATTCGTCATTCACTTTGAAACGAGTTGCTGTTTACGTGACGACGCGTTCCCAAACTCAGACTCCGTGGGATCCAAGTCTCCAGGGAGGAAGAGAGGATGTTTTAGCCCCAGGGAAAAGCTGCCCATTAACGCAGGACCCGGGCCGTCGATGGCCTTGACATTCAAAAGCAACGAGACAGAGTCTATGTGAAGAAACACGCGTGAACACACACACACACACACACACACACACACGTGCGCGGGCAGCACAGCGTGAGGCAGCAGGGACTCGGAGCCCAGGGAGTTGGGAAGCTGCACACCGGCCCCTTCCTTCAGGCGGAGTGACTCGGGCGTCGCTGAGTTACGCCCTCCCTCTGTGGCCTCATCTGTCCAAGGGGACGGTCTCGGCCTCGTTCCTCCCTCCAGGGTGGATGTGGACGTGAGTAAGGGACCCCAGTGGAAGAGTGCAGGGGCTGTGGGGTTGTGACACAAGTCCTAGGGGAGCCGGGGTCCCCTGTCACACGCACACAGACCTCGGAAGCAGCAGAGAGACAGCAGAACCCTCCACGGAGAGCAACCCGCAGGGCACGCGCCCGTCACCAATGTGTCACCTCAGTTTTGGGGATGAACGGGGGGAAGAAGGCCCAGCAGAAACATGTTCTGTGTGTGTGCATCTGTGCAAGAAATTTGCTGTGAATCACCCTCAGAAATGATGTAAGTGCAGGGCGGAAGCAGTTCATGCGATTCGCGGAGAGAGAGAACCCTAACAAGACTTCAGACCAAGTTTACGCTTTCATCGGAGATGAAGGGATCCGGGTCGTTGGTAGCAGAGGCCCACTGTAACACATTCACAAAGAACGATGAGTTTTGGACGGTCCTTGGAGAAATCAGGGAGAGATCTCTACGAGAATTAGAGACGTCCGTTTCCCACGTCTAGGGCGCCGACACGCGGAACGGGCGACATCCCCGGGGGACAGGAGAGCGGGGTGCTTCTGTGCACGGTGCAGTACGGAAATCCCCGCCCCTCATGTCCACACAAGACGCACGAGACGACTGTGCGGGCCTTGGGGCCCCTCTGCAGCGAGGCGGTGCCGTTCGGTGGAGATTGTGCCTCTGTGGCCCCCGCTCCAGCTCCACTTCTGAAGCCGGGGGAGGGCTCCCCCCCCCCGCCAGGACGCCACACCCCCGCAGTGCCCCGCCCCGAAACTGTCGCTGGTCCGCTTCCCTCGCCCTCCTCGGGCGTGTTTTGACAAACGGCCTTACGTGCGCTGTTCTTTTCATCTTCCTAACTCAATTCCGTGTCACCGAGCGGATGCCGAATTCCAGCCGCATCTGGACTGCGGTTTCACGCTGAGAAATTACCCCCAGGGGCTCCCGGTGGTTTCTCGGAGACTCTGTGTGTGTGTGTGTGTGTGTGCGTGTGTGTGCACGCACGCTTGTTACGTGTAACTGTGCCGCCCATTTGGAACTGATTCCAGTGTGTGACATGAATTGAGTCTTTGAGATTATCTCGGTTTCCCCGAGTAATTGATTTACGTGTGTAGTTCTGTCCCTGGGAACGGAGCCTGGACTTGGGCCGTACGCTGGTTCTGCAGCTTGGGAAACGGGCGTGGCTGTTTTGCTCTCACCCCGGGATTGTATTTACCGGGCAGCTTCCTGGCTTTCCTGGGCTCTGTCCGCGTCGGTGCTGGTGCCGCTGGGCCGCGACAGCTGTCACCCTGTCCCCACGCCAGTGTGCACTGCCTACCACACCCCGGGCCAGGCCCCGGACAGGGCTTTCCAGGGGGGCCCCCCCACCCATTTCCACGGGGGTGCGGGGGCACAGCCAAGACCGACACCCAGGCGTGCTGCCCCGAGAGCCCAGAGCCTGGCTCTGGACCGGATGAGCTGGGGGTGGTTCCCTGCCTCGGGCAGGGGTCAGCTGTGTGCCCTTGGGAAAGTGGCTTAGCCTTTCTGGTGCGGTTTCCTTACATGGTGGCCACACTGCCTGGTGGGAGTGTGCGGGAGGGTGGGAGGAGCTAGGGGATTGTTTCTGTCGGGGGTGGGGCGGGCACGGAGCGGGGGCCAGGCAGGGGTCCCTGCACCGGTGTCTTTGATCCCTTTTTCCAACTCTTCCCTCTCCCCATCCTGTCCTTCTTCTTCCTCCCCTCCCCCGGCCCCCCTCCTCCTCCTTCTCTTCCTTCTTTTCCCTCATCGTCCCTCTGGACTTCGCAGGCCACACAGCCTGCGGCACAACTATTCAACTGGGACCATCTAAACAGCAAAATAATAAAGTGCTAGTCTAGGATTATAACCCGAAGTATAAAGAAACACCCATGAGTCCACACCGATACGCATAAATCACTGAGTCAGTTCATAAACGTGGGAGAAGGGACCCATCTTTGATGAAGAAGAATCCCAGACACTTTCAGGCTCCCCACCCCCCGGAAGCGGAGGGCGCCTGGTGACCCCCTTCCGAAGGGGACAGTGGGAGGTGGGGACGGTGACGATAGAATGGGGAACCCGGTGGACACTCCGCAGGCCGGGTGACCGAGGTCAGCAGGCTGGCCTCTCGCTAGGACGGGATGAGAGTGACGCCTCCCCCGCCACCCGCCACCCGCCCCACCGCGCTCTCCCTCTCCGTGAGCCAGACCCCGTCCAGTCCTCACCAGACAGAGCTGCGCCCGGTCTCCGGGGCCCCAAGATTCAGAGCCGCTGGTGGGGACCAAGGGTGAGGGAGCCGCCGATTCTTCCGCCCGGCCCGGCCCGGCCCGCCTCCTGGCCGCGCACCGCCCACCGGCTCCCCTGCCGGTCGGGGCCCTGGCTCGTCTGCTCCCTGCCCCAGGGCGAGGAGGGCCTTGGGTCCCCTCCAATCCAGCGGACACCCTCCGGGGCCAGCTTTGCCCTGGCTTCTGCGGGCTCTGGGAAGGGAGGCCCGCAGAAGGTGGGCAGTGGGTAGGGTGCAGAGGGCCAAGGAGTGACCGGGGAACCTTCCGGAACAGCGAGGTGCAGCCCTCAGGGTGCCCAGCGCTGTCTGTGCTGGCGACGCGCAGCCGTGGCTCTCTGGGAACACGTGTCACTGAGGTGGAGACGGTCAGAACGGGACACGGAGCCCTGGAGTGTGGCGTGGGCTGAGCCCGTGGTGCGGTGGGCGCGGTGGGAAGACACGCGTGTGACACAGAGAACACGGGGCCCGGGCGACATCAGGAGCCTAGTTAGCGGTCAGTCCAGTGAAAACGCCCGGGCAGCGATGAGTCGTCACTGCTGATGACGTTCGCTTTTCAGATAACCCCAGGTTTGTGTCATTTCGCATTCACAAATGGCTGTTTAACACCTCGCTTGGGGAATTCCTGACGACACACCTGCTGGCCGGCTGGCCGGAGCCCCGGTGGGCCGGCTCCATCTCGCCCCTGAGTCGGCCCCTCCTTGCTGACCGCCCCGGGCTGAATCTCTGCGCTCCCTGCAGCTCCGGGTCCCCACCTGCCGGGGGTCACTGCCTCCCCGCCCTCGACCTCGAGCTGTGACTCCTGGCACCGCGAGCCCCGAGCGAGTTTTCCCTCCCCCGCCCCTTCTCGCCCTGTCCGCCCGCGCCCACGGCGTGGCGCCATCCCGGAGCACCTGTCGGCCGTGCCCCGCGGCACTGCCGTCCTGCCCGCCGCGTTCCCCGGGGACTCCCAGCCACAGAGTTCCGTCCCAGCAGCCCTCTGCCCTCGCCCTCGCCGCAGCCGCCCGGGGGCTGGACGCGAGCTGGGGGCTTGGTGGGCGCTCCACAGCCAGGCGTTGGTGGGCTCGAGGATCAGCAGATTTGGGGGGAGCGCGAACAAAGGCACGCAACATCCCCCTGAAGGTCTGCAGTCAGCAGGGAGTGCTCGTCTTTGGAGGTCTGAGCAACACAAGAGATGTTTCCACAGCCGACCCGGGTTTCGTTTTTCTTGAAATCGGAGCGCCCAGGCCCTCTCCCGCAGCCCCTGGCTTGCCTCAGACGCTGTCCTGTTCTGCAGTCTTGGCCCTCCCGGCAGCCAAGAGGGTTGGGAAAAGGCTCGTTGCATGCGCCCGAGCACGCCTCTGTCGCACTGACTGGCACCCCCCACCCCCCCGGATTCCGGGAAACGGTGGGGAGTGCACCCCCCACCCAGGCAGGGACACACACGACTCCCAGCCCTGTCCGGGTCCGGGTCCCGGGTCCCGGGCTCCGGGCGTGCTGCTCCGGGCCTGCGCCAGGGCGCCCCCTGGGGACGTGGACGGGATTCGCGGCGCGTGTCGAGCGCCTCCCGCCAGCCCTGCAGCCGCCGCGGTCTCACACCTGTCCGCTCACGCTTTCAGAACCCACCGCGCCTGCTCGACAACCTCAGCGACGCGATGGTCCAGGCCCAGAGGGTGGCCTGCCTGCGGAGCTCTGTGCAGAGCAAGCACGAGGACAACTACCGCGAGGCGCTGGTGGCCATCAAGGCCGACCTGAAGCTGACCGAGGGCCCGGACATCAAGGAGAACCTCCAGGACCAGATCCGGCGCTGGTTCATCGAGTGCAGGTGAGCGGGAGCAGCAGGCGGGGCCCTCGGGGGTCTCTGGCGCAGAAGCCTGTCAATTTGTATCCACAAGGTTTGGGGCTTCATTTTATTTTATTTTGTTATTTTTAGATTGTATTTATTTATTTTTAGACAGAGGGGAAAGGTGGAAGAAAGAGAGGGAGACATCAGTGTGCTGTTGCCTCTGGTGCGCCCCCTACTGGGGGCCTGGCCCGCAACCCAGGCACGTGCCCTGACTGGGAATCGAACCTGCGACCTTTTGGCTCCCAGGCCGGTGCGCAGTGCACTGAGCCGCACCACCCGGGGCTCCGGTTTCACTTTAGCAGAGGGAGATGGCAAGGCTGAGAGTTCGGGAACTAACTCTCGGTAATGAAGTCGCTGGTGCCTTTGTCTCTAACGTGGGCCACGCGATGCTTCCGTGACCCCATGGGCTGGAGCCCCGCCCGCCCCCCTCCCCGCCGCCTCCAGGCAGGGCACACCGCGCCAAAGGGCACCGACCGGCAGACTGGAGCCGTGGTGCTTCGGGCGAGGTTGCTGCGTGGCTGCGTGGTCGCACGTGTTTCCGCGGTCAGTTTCCTCCTCTGGGGCATGAGGACAAGACCGTCCTGCGTCGTGAGGGAGCTGGGGCGTGCAGGGCAGGGAGCCCTCTGTGCGGGGCGGCTGTCACTCTGTTGTGGCGTGACGTCTGCTCGTTCCCGCGGCCTCTCCCCCACCTAAACAACAAGTGCTGGAGGGCGGGCCCGGCCTGGGCATGCGGCAGTGCGTGCCCTTCACGCGTGTGCGGGGAACACGTGTGTGCGGGGAAGCGCGTCGGCCGGGGCACTGCGGGCCGTCCCTGTCACCCAGGCACACCCAGGTGTGTCTGGAGGAAGTGGGCTCGGGGTGGTCGCATGCCAGCGGGGAACACTCCGGTAGAAAGGCGTGTTTCCGGCGAACTGAGTCTTCTCGTTAAATGTCGGGGGGTCAGAATGAAAACCTTCGTGTCACAGTTAGTGGGGACGGCACGCCCTGTGTTCTCGAACTTCCGTCGTCAGGGGCTCTGCTCCCTTCTCCGGGGACTTCAGAGGGTGGGCGTCCACGGGAACGTGCTCTCAGTGACGTGAGTCTTTACTTTTACGTGGACGTTTCACAGTCTGATTCGTTTGTAGGTGGCGAAACCAAGTTGAAAGCACCATGTACAATTGTAGCCCCAGATAAGCTAAAATCCATAAAACACACACACACACACACGTGTGCATACGTGTTCGTACACACACTTACCTTAGTGATCGCATGTTTGCCCGTGCACGGACACTAGACACCGTCCGCACGGCCACCTCTGGACACGAGGGCAGCGAAGTGACCCTCTATTTCACGTTCTTCTGTCCCCTAGAAGTCTTTCCCAGTAAGTATTATTTCTATAATAAAAAGCCTAGTTAAAAACATATTAGAAGAAAGACAAAGCAATGGAATTGGAGATCATCCCAGATAAGCATGTAAAATTTTAAAACACCCTAACGTTTCAAAAGGTTATTGCACTACGGGCACGACACGGTGGGAAGGCGTCTCTGATCAGAGACCAGGGAGACGGCGTTGTCCCCTCCCTGAGGGTCTGGAGGGGGGTGGGGATCGTGGGGGTGCGGCTGCCGCAGATCCCGGTGTGGCGGGGAGCTGGAGGCTCCCTTCGAAGAGCCCTCGGGGGCCAGCCCTGTGGGAACACACACCACGGTGTCCCCGAGCCGGCCGCTGGAGCCCTGCAGAGGGCAGCGCCCGCCCGAGGGTGTCTGGGTGTCCTTCACGGAGACGCAGCGACCCCTCTGCTGACGTGGTGGGTGGCGGGGGCGAGTTTATCTTCCCAGTGGGACTACATTTATCCGGCCGACTTTGATACTATCCTTCTCCTTGCTTTTTTAAGCCCAAGACAAATAAAAAGCAAATATTGTCTTTTAAACCATGAAACGAGACCCGCCCTCGGGCCGCATTCCAGCAGGGCACACGGGGACGGCCCAAGACCTGACCAGAAGGGACGGTTCTCACACGCACGCACGCCGTCCGTCTGGAATGCCTGGCCTGGGCTCCTTCGGTTCGTGCTCACAGTTGCCAAAAGGGTTATGCTAAGATTTGTTTTATCTAAGTCAGTGTTCAAACTACTTTACAGGGGGACTTTTTCCCAGTGCTACGAGTAACGCACGCGCCTTGCGGAGCGTGCGCCGGCCGGAGGAGTCCCAAGAAGGGGGTTAAAACCTCTCTGAGCTCCGTGTGCGAAGGGGGCCCAGGGGGTTGCTGGGGAATTTCCTTCATTCAGGTCTTTTTCTCTCCCGTGGGAGTTTTCACGACTATGGAGTCGTTTTCCGGTTTGTTTTTTTTAATTTAATATCGAGTTTCCCTGCGTCCTTAGACTATTTCCCAAAAGAAGTTTTTAATGGTTGGTTAACACCCTGGTGCATGGATCTTAGTGAATGGCCGTCTTTTTCATCTTCGGTTGATTGACAAGAGAAAGTGCCATCTCAGTACAAGTAGTTTGCATTTATTCTATGAATGGGAGAGGACCTGAGGATCTCTTTGTTTGGGGCGGCGGGGGGGGGGGGGCGGGGTTCAACAGCGTTTCTTCTTCTGTGAATGTCCCTGTCCTTCACCGGCTTGCTTTTCTGTTAAGTGACCTCTGAAGTGGACTCCCGAGTTTGTACCCGATACCAAAGCCTGACTGACACCTTGTTGCACTGACGGCTTCCCAGTCCTCCTCGCCTGTTATTGTGTAACTGGCCGACAGGGAAGCTGGAAAGAGGGAGAAAAAAACGGAAGGAGAAAGATCGGCGGTCACGAAGATCCCGGGGCCCAGTCTCTCCGACCACCCACGCCCTGACCAGCCTGTCCCCGCTCTGAGCCCACCCCGGGCATCCCCGCTCTGAGCCTCGGCCACGGCCCCCACGGCCACGTTGATTCGGGGACTGAAGGAGACGGTGCAGATAGAGACGTGGGCCCATGAGCTTCCCGGTGAGGCCACGTGGTGTAGGCGTTTCTCCTAGTTTAAGCGAGGTTCTTCTCCAAATACTGCTTTGTGTTGCTATTAATTCTGCGTTTCTACGTAGTTTGCACTGTGGCCTAACCCGGGTCTCGGGTCGGTTCCGATGGTTTTCCGGTGGATGCCCTGGGACGTGCCTGGAGTCTCAGTCCCGGGGGCCTGGGGCCGACGTGCTCTCCTGTCTCGGGCAGGAGACGCTCTGGAGTCTCCTCCCCGCCCGGCCGTGGAGCGGGGCGGGGGGCGCAGCAGGCGGCCAGGCAGGGTCACCGTCCGCCCCACCCTCTGCTGCATCTCCCTGGGCTCCCCCCCCCCCCCGCCCCGTGTCCCAGGGCCCGGCACCTCGGGACAGCGTGCGCCCGCTGGGTCTGCTGGCCTGCCACGGGCCCGTCTGTCTGCTGGCCTGCCACGGGCCCGCCTGTCTGCTGGCCTGCCACGGGCCCATCTGTCTGCTGGCCTGCCACGGGCCCGCCTGTTTGGAGCAGCCCTTTCCGTCAGCTCCCGGAGATCTGGTTTCAGCTGCGGGTGCCTCCATGGGCCGCCCCCCCACTGCTGCCACGGGAGACGCTGTGCCGGGCGCCTCCCACGGGTGCCCTGCTGGGGCGCCACGGCTTAGAAAGGCTGAGTGAGGTTCTCTCGGGCTCGTGGCTCCCGAGAGGCAGGGCTGGAAAGCAGACTTGGGCCTCGGCTCCCAAAGCCGAGACGCTTGCAGAGAGCGCCTTGTTCTGAGCGTGGCGGCCACAGAAACCCTGTCCTGCAGGCCCCCCCCAGCCCCAGGGCGCAGTGAGTGCGCCCGGCCATCCCGCGGGGACAGGGGGCAGTGGCCGAGGCAGCGAGGCTCCTTCCCTGTGACCTGGGAGCCTGGGGCTCTCCGTGTCCCCGACGCCCCCATCCTCCGGCGTCCAAGCCCGGCACGAGGAGCTGGGGGACACTTCTGTGCAGATGAAAGGGGGGGAGAGAGGGGGAGGGTGGGGGTCCAGAGCAGGGCTTGCCCAAGTATTTCATGGGCAGCAGGGTGGACCAAGGGAAGTCAGGTAACTCGGCTGAAAACTTGGGCCGTTACCGGCAGAAACAGACCTGCGCGGGGGACCGGAGACGGTCTGGAACGTGAGCGTCCTGTGCAGCCGGAGCCGGGTCTCGGGGGAGGCTCGGAACCGTTCTCTCGGAGGGCTGCTGAGGACACCAAAAGGAGCCGCCGGAAGGCCCACAGCAAACGTCTCTGGGCAGCGGGGTCAGGGCTCTGTCTGTCCTTTTCTTCCATGTTCCGAGTTTTCCACGCAGCGTGCGCCTGGCTTTCAGAATGAAGAAAGTTTCGGAGGGCAGGGGGGGTGGGGCACACCTGGGTGGTGCACGAGGGGCTCACCACCTCGAATCCCTCGGGGCACGGTATTTCCAGCCCGTTCTCAGAAGCTGCCGTGGTCTGCGGTGGAGACACGAACTCGGGCAGGTCGCTCGGCCGCGGGGGCGAACGACTTTCTTCTGCCCGCCGCTCTGGTGGGGAGTGAGTGGGGGGCATGAGGTGGGGGGGTGAGAACCCAAGGCCCCGGCGTGTCCACTGCAGCCCTGGGGACAGGTGCGCCTGCCCCCACCCCACCCCGTGAAATCGCGTGGTCTGATGTCAGCCGTCACGGTCGATCAAGAACCTCCAGCAGCTACGGGCTCTGGCGGTTTATCCAGGCGCCAGGTCCCGTTGACGGACAGGCCCAGCGGCTCCTTTGCGGACTTGGTGGACACACGCCCCTCCTGTGGGCTGTGAACACTCCCAGAGACTCCGGCCTCTGCCGGCCCCCACCCCGGGCCCCTGTCCTTCCCCCCCGCAGTGGTGAGCCTGTGGGGGCGGGGCAGGGACTGTCCCTCTGGTCCCCTCCGAACCCCGCACTGGGTGGAGAGCAGCCGGAGGGCCCGGCCTCGAGCGCCTCAGCCTGGAGCGCAAACAGGAGCTGCCATGTCCCGGCCCCGGCCCCCCGAGTTCGCGCTCGGGGGTCTCGGGGACCTGAGAGGCTGC